CATTTCTTCATATGTTTGTTGGCTGCCCGGATCTCTTCCTTAGTGAAGTGTCCTGTGCCCACTTTTTAATTGGGTTATTTGTCTTTTTCTTGTAGAGGTGTTGTAGTTTCCTTTGTTTCTCTGGTTACATTTATTCCTAGATATTTCATCCTTTGGGTGGCTATTGTAAATGGTATTGCTTTTCTAATGTCCATTTCAATGCTGTCGTTTTCGGTATAGAGGAATCCAACTGATTTTTGTACGTTGATCTTATACCCTGCCACTTTGCTGACTCTTCCAATGAGGTGTCTAGTAGCTTTTTTACTGAGTCTTTGGGGTTTTCTACGTATAGGATCATATTGTCTGAAAATAAGGAGAATTTTGCTTCCTCTTTGCCAATTTGGATGCCTTTAATTTCCTTGTCTTGCCGTATAGCTCTTGCTAAGACTTCCAGCACAATATTGAATAGGAGCGGTGACAGAGGACATCCTTGTCTGGTTCCTGTGGATGTGTTCTTTTTGATGTTGAATACAACACCATTCCTCTTCGATTTGTCATTCCCAGCATAGTAAGCCATGTGGTTGTCAGGTTCAAAATGGCCAATACCAGTCCATTTCGGCTTACTAATGCCTAAGATATCGATGTTTATGTGTTCCATTTCATTTTTTTACCACTTCCAATTTTCCCAGATCCATACTTCTTACATTCCATGTTTCGATTTTCAGTGGATGTTTATAGCTATTTTCTCTTCATTTTGAGTTGTGCCCCATCAGCAAATGAAGGTCCTATGGGCTTTTCTCTCAGGAGCTTTACTCCATTTGCATTATCAAGGTCAACTCTACTTTGAGGAGGCAGCTCTTCCCCAGTCACATTTTGAGTACCTTTCAACCTGAGGGGCTCATTTTCCGGCACTATATCTGACAATGTTTCTCTGCTATTCTTAAGGTTTTCAGTGACTAAAGATTTGAAAGTATTTTGTCACTCTTTCTTCCTAGTCTGTCTTTGTCTGGAAGCTCATCTAAAACCTGTCCACCATGGGTGACCCTGCTGGTATTTAAAATACCGGTGGCATAGCTTTCAGAATCACAGCAACTCACAAGCCACCACAGTACATACAACAAACTGAAAGACAAGTAGTGGCCTTTTGGTTTTATGTGGAAACTATCACTTTAAATGTCAAGGAGATCAGTGCGCATGTGTAATAGAACCCTCCAGGGCTGGGGGTGGGTTGTCCATTCCCTTAGGCATCCCCTCTAGTCACCAGAATGGAGGTGCGCAGACAGCAAGAGACCAGTGAACAGATACAAAAAAAGTGTCCACAACTTTGTCTACGTGGTTCTGTCAGGCTATTCTGATCTTCCTTCTCCCCCCTCCCTCCTTGCCCCGCTTGGTCTCTCCCAAGATGGTGGCTCTGGGAATAGCTGAACGTCTTGAATTAGAAAGCAATGAATTTCTTTTTTTTTTTTTTAAGTTGAAATAATTTATTATTCTAACAAAAGTACAAAGTATGGAAAATTAGTGTATTTGAATTGTTTCAGAAGAGCAGAGAGAACTTTGCACTAGCAGAATTTAGTTTCAGCACCTTTGATAAGAAATATTCAGTTAAGACACGTGGCAGCAGTTTCTGGCTCCCCGGGGAAGGGGTGGTCCAGAGGCTCCCTTGTGATGTTCACAGAGCGGTGCAGCCCTTATGTTTTTTTACTCTATATGTTTGGAGAGTGCTAAGTACACCCAAAAAACCCTGCTTAGAAACAAAAAAGGTGTTCACTGACTCCGTGGCTGGTGGTGGAAGGTGGAACCGGAGGTGGAAATGCACAGCAGGTGCTAGATGGACAGCCCGAAGGTGCTGACGATGTAGTACATGGTCTTGTTCTCCCACCGCACCGTGCAGCTCCCGTCCGTGGAGCTGTCCCAGAAGCAAGAGCTGGCTGTGTGCAACCCGGCCCCGTTCTTCTGCATGATGACACAGGTTACAATGTATTTAAATGGCTTTCCCAGCTTGGTGAGTTGACTAAGCGTTTGCTCCACGACGTGTGTGGTCCACTGATTGACCTTGGCCTCTTTTACAATGTTGCTCACTTCATCGACAACAAACACGGTCTCCTCGCTAACCTGGTAGTCCTCCATCTTTACTCCTGTGCTGTCGCTTCTGCCTACCGGAGTCAGCAATGGATTTCTTGATTCTGCTACAAATTCCCCTAGCTGTAAGCCTTCCAATCTTCTAAATATTCCTCTATTTGTGGTTCAGAGTTCTAGCACCATCCCCTGAGCCTGCTTGGCCTGGTATTGTGTGTTGTTGGTGTTGGAGCTCCGCACTGCATGTCTACCCATTCTGCCATCTTGACGCATTACATCTATAGATCAGATCATTTTAGGTTTCATTGACATTTTCATAATGTTAATACGATCCATAAGTATCATAGCTGTTTTGTCTAAGCAGGTCTCTTGGTTTCTTGTAGTAATGTTTTTGTGTATTTTTTTCTTTGTATGGTCTTTTGCACCCCTGGTTAGATTTAGACCTAAGAGGCCTACTGTAATTGGTATTGTCTTCTTGAATTCCTTTTCAAAGTTCTCTTTTTTTTTTGGTGTAGAGGAATCCCACTGGTTTTTGTATATTGATCTTGTTATTTGGCTACTTCGTTAAATTCTTTTAGTTCCAGTAGCTTTCTTGCAGAATCTTTGGTAATGTGTAAGTCTTTTTATTGTTGTTAGGTGCCATCGGTATCTGTGAGTAGGGATAGTTAAATGTCTTTCTTTACAATTTGAGTACCCATTTTTCCTTTTCTTGCCTTATTGCTCTAGCTAGAATATCCTGTATAATGTTGAATAAGACTGGTGATAAAAGGACATCATTGTCTGGTTCCAATTTGCAAGAGGAATGCTTTCAGTCTTTCTCCATTGAGAAAAATTTTGGCTGTTAAATTTATATAAATGTTTGGTATATTGAGGAACTTCCCTTCGATTTCTATTTTGCTGAGAGTTTTTATGAGTAATGGGTGTTGGACTTTATCAGATACCTTTTCTGCATTGATTGAGATGATCATGTGAGTTTTTTCTTTTGTTCATGTGGTTGATTGCATTGATAAAAGGTAGACTCTTATTAAGGTTTGTTGAATAAATCTAGTTAAGGGGAAAACTAGGTAAACAGAGAATAGTGGTGGCAGGCCAGGCATGATTGTGTCAATGACTGGTACTGATAGAAAGTGTATGTTTGTGAGGGTGAGTGGCCAGAAAGCCCGGCACACAGCAGGAGCAGCGTTTATGGAGCCACTCAGGAACTTGGGATATGGAGAAGGAAGGGCAAGGGATGAAAAGCATGGGAGGAAGAGATGGATCCAGGCCAGGGAGCTTAAAAGCACTGAGAGAGTCATGAAAACTGACGTTTATCAAGTATGGAGGTTCTGTACTTAATTTAAGCTCAGCATCCAACAAAACCTGAAAAATAAATAGACTGATGAGGCTTAACCATGAAAAGGAATTTATTGGTGTGAAAAATATAAGTGAAAAGTCCAGAGATACAGCTGGTGTCACACACACAGCTAGATCCAGGATTCAGATGATATACTCAAAATGTATATCTATCCTTTAACTCTTTTTCTTTCTTCATTGGCTCCATTCTGGGACAGCCCCTTAGGCAAGGTATTTACCAGGTAGCAATAAGCTAGTGTCTTCCCAAGTGAGAAAGCTTCTTTCCTGACATACAGTCTAGGCACTGACTCACTGGTTTGAAACGGGACTGCCTTCCCACTGCTGAGCTAAGCATCCAGACTAATGGCCACCCTTTGTAGACGGGGTTAGGGTACCCACAGGAACTTCTAAGGGAAAAGTGAAACAGCAAGAGAAAATGGAGGTGTATGTCCAGGAGTGGGGGGTGGAAACCAGCAAAGACTCCAAGGATATAGACCCCTAGTTAATGTTCTAAGAAGAGGAAACTTGATGTATGTATAAATCACTCTTTTCAATGTTTTTCAGCACCTCCATGATACGGTGAAAAGGAATCTTGACAGCGCTACCTCCCCTCAGAATGGCGATCAGCAGAATGGCTATGGAGACCTCTTTCCTGGACATAAGAAGACCCGCCGGGAAGCCCCTCTGGGAGTGACTGTCTCTGCCAATGGTCTGCCTCCAGCTTCCCCTCGGGGACAGCCCGACAAGCCTCCTGGTGGAGAGGCCCTCCAATCCAGTGGAAAGCACTCGCAGACCCTTGACTCTGTCAACAAAAAGTGTCTGGCTGACTCAAATCTCCACTTGAATGGAGGCAGTAACCCCAGTGAGTCCTTCCCTATGAGTTTGAACAAAGAGCTGAAACAGGAGCCTGTTGATGACCTTCCTTGCATGATTGCTGGGGCTGGGGGCTCCATATCTCAAAACAACCTCATGCCTGACCTGAATCTGAATGAACAGGAGTGGAAGGAGCTCATCGAGGAGCTGAACCGGTCAGTACCTGATGAAGACATGAAGGATCTCTTCACTGAGGACTTTGAAGAGAAAAAGGACCCTGAGTCTTCAGGTTCTAATACACAGACCCCCTTGACACAGGACATTAATATTAAGACAGAATTCTCCCCAGCAGCCTTTGAGCAAGAACAGTTAGGCTCTCCACAAGTAAGAGCTGGGTCTGCAGGACAGACCTTCATGGGGCCTTCATCCGTTCCTGTGAGCACAGCTTCTCCTAGCCTCGGGTCCTCTCAGACCATGTTCCACACTTCTGGTCAGACCGGGACAGAAAATCCTAGTGCAAACCTGATGCCGGCATCAGCCCAGACCCAGAATACACAAAGAGCCCTGTCCAATGTGGTACTGCCCAGTCAGGGCACAGGAGGGAACACAGAGCTGTCCTCTGCCCATCAGCTCCAGCAGATTGCTGCCAAGCAGAAACGTGAGCAAATGCTCCAGAACCCACAGCAGGCCACCTCAGCCACAGCCCCAGGCCAGATGTCCACATGGCAGCAGACAGGGCCCTCTCATAGTCCCTTAGATGTTCCGTATTCCATGGAGAAGCCAGCCAGCCCTCCCAGCTACCAGCAAGACTTCAGTAACTCCAAACTACTCATGATGCCCAGTGTGAACAAGGGTTCCCCTCGGCCTGGAGGCCCCTACCTTCAGCCCAGCCATGTGAACCTGCTGAGTCACCAGCCACCAAGTAACTTGAATCAGAACTCCATGAATAATCAAGGGCCCATGCTGGACTATGGCAATACAAAACCCCTCTCTCATTTCAAAGTGGATTGTGGGCAAGGAAGCCCTGGACCTGCCCAGAACAAGTCAGCTATGCTGACTTATCTACCACAGCAGCTGCCTCACATAAACAGCGAGCAGAACCCCTTGTTTCTTATGAAACCAAAGCCAGGAAATATGCCCTTCAGGTCCTTGGTTGCACCAAGCCAGGTAAGTAGGTAACTTCACATTCTGGTACATGCATTAGATACATGATTGAGGCTAAGAGTTCAATTGGAAGGGTGTCAGGAAGTTGTGGAAGAAGAGGGAGCGGGGAGAGATGAGCAGCTGCTGTTGGCCTTTAAACTCATTGAGAATGAAATTTTCATTTCTAAATCAAGCCAGGGTTTATTCTTAAAAATTCTAAAAGGCATGATGCACAAACCTGGCAGTATGATCTAGTTCCATATGGGAGAAGATAGTCAAGTTCTAGATACTAATTATCATGATCTTTCTTTGCATTTCTATTCATGTTCAAATATGTTTTGGAATTTGTCCCTTTCCTGTAAATATATGGAGTGTTTCCCTCGACTTCTCCAAAAGATAGAATGAAACATGACTTTTGTTTCTCACTCCCCAGTGTACCCTGGACTCTCTTTCATGTCTGCAGATATAGAGTCATCAGTTCTTTTTAACAGTTGTAGAGTATTCAGTTGTGGATATACCACAGCCACACACTGATAGCATTGTAGGATGTCTCCTATTTCTCATTACTGTAAATAAAGCCTGCAATGAATACCTTTGTGTTTGTATTTTTGTACACTTGTGGCAATGAAAACCCTTGCACTTACATATTTATACATTTGTAGTAACAGACACCTTTGTGTTTATGACTTTGTACACTTATGACACACTCTAAAATTTTAGAAATGATAATATAGTGAGGAAATAAATTTATATATTGGTCAAGGATGTGTGTACATAGGCACAGTGCTTTGGAGGAGTGATTTGCCGTTACGTAGTTTTCACAAGACCTAAAACTGTTTACAGGCCCTGACACATTATCTCCTTGAAAGGTCACCTAAAGAACGAATCCAAAACAAAAAGAAAGTTATATACAAGGTTTTTCTTGCATGATTATTTCTAATGACCCAAAACCAGGAGCAGTTTTAGCACCTCCCAGCAGTAAGAGGTGTTTGTCAATATTGATGCTTCCATTAAAAATGGCCTTAACAGAGAGGAACACAATGGTAACTACTGTCATTTGAGTCATACTTTGCAACTTCCAAAGCGCTTTCAGGTCCCTTAAGCTCTTGATAATTAGAGTGATGAAATTAGTGTCAGAATCTATCTGCTGTAAAATTAGAAATCTTGTAAAGATTTTTAAAATATGAGTGAATAAGAAGTGGAGAGGGGCCTAAAAACTTGAAAATGGTTAAATAATTTTTTCCTATTTTGAATTAAATTTTCACCTTTTAAATTAAGTAATGATATGTTAGGATAATATTGCTGTGGCCTTTGGTAGGAATCTCACTTTGTGTCCATGAATGAGCCCTATTGGCTCTTGGAGGATAAATGCTGGACTGTTAACTGCAAGCTTAGCAGTTCAAACCCACCAGCCACTCTACAGGAGAAAGATAAGGCTTTCTGCTTTCATATAGATTTACAGTATCAGAAACCCTACATAGGATCACTGTGAGTTAGAATCACTCATTGGCAATGGGTTTGAGTTATTTTATTAGCAATTAATGTCCATTAATACTCTAGTTTTATTAATACTAATAAATACTCTAGTTCACATTAATATTCAGCAGTCAGTGAACATGAGTAATGGACAAAAACTAAGCAGTCTATTCCCAGAAAAATGCTAGTTCACAGGTGGAGTTTCAAAGATTACCCTGAAGCCAGGGACCCAGAGTTTGCATTAAGTGTGTAGTTTCTCCATCAGTCAGAGTCCCTTTTCAGAGTGTTCTTCCTTGAGGGCCCACCTACAAGTCTGTACAAGCCATGGATGCTTATTGGAAGTATCATGTGCAAATATATGAGTTTAATTCTGCGTAATGTAAAAAGAACACCTTGGCCACTAGACACGCAAAGAGAGCAAACCCAGCATGTGTGATTGTTCATTGTTAGATGCCTCTCTAGTCCAGTGTTAGCTTTTTTAGTCTCTACCTGGAACCATAGAGTGGCTGTCATTTGGAGTTGATAGCAGTGCAACTAAGGGTCAGTTCAAGCGAGGAAGTCAAGGGGCACCGCCTAGGTGGAGCTATACTGGTTTGATCAGAGTTTAACAAGCTTCATTCACTGTGTCCCACCTGAAACAAGAGCCTCGTTATCTGTGTTAACAGGAGCAGAACCCTGCTAATGTTCCTCATGCATCCACATCTGTGCCAACCCAGGCCACGAGTGTGGGGACCCAGCCGCCTTCCGTGTCCATAAGCAGCACTCACAACAACACTCCCTATCTCAGTAGCCAGCAACAGGCAGCAGTCATGAAGCAGCATCAGTTGCTTTTGGACCAACAGAAACAGAGGGAGCAGCAACAAAAGCACTTACAGCAACAGCAGTTCTTGCAAAGACAACAGCACCTTCTGGCAGAACAGGTAAGAAGAAAGAACTCTGCAAGCCTACTTACTGGTGCATGTGCATTTCCCCTGAGCTTTGCCCTTTACGAAACTTATCCTTGTCGTTGTTATATGCCATGGAGTCACTTCCGACTCATAGAGACCCTATACAGGGTTTCCCAGGCTGTAAGTCTTTACAGGAGCAGAAAGCCGCCTCTTTCTCCCATGGAACATCTGTAATTTCAAACTGCTGTCTGTGAGATTAACAGCCCAATTCCTAACCACTACGCTAACAAAACTCCTGGAGCATACTATTTCTTAGACACTGAGACCTATGTCAACAGCTACTTTCTATTACTTACTAAAAACCCACATCAATTTGCTGGATTCTGATTCATAGTGACTCTTTATAGGGTTGCTGAACCTGTAAATCTTTACAGGCGCAAAAAGCCTCATCTTTATCCTGCACAGTGACTGGTGGGTTTGAACTACTGACTTTGTGGTAAGCAGTTCTGTACTTATCCTATAGGATTCCTTACTTCTTGTTGCTGCTGTTTAGTGCTGTTGACTTGGTTCTAATTCATAGTAACCCTGTATAGGTTTGCTGAGGAGCCGCTGGTGGGCTTAAACCACAGGCCTTACAGTTCAAACCAACTTTGTGGTCCAGTTCTTATCCTACAGTGCCACGTGAATTCTTTCTTACATTGTTATTGTTGTTGTTGTTAGGTGTCATCCAGTTAGTTCTGACTCATAGTGACCCTGTGCACAACAGAACGAAATACTGCCCAGTCCCCTGCCAGTCTTATAATCGTTGCTATGCTTGAGCTCATTGGTGCTGCTACTATGCCAATCCATCTTGTTGGAGGTCTTCCTCTTTTTCTCCAACCCTCCACTTTACCAGGGACTGGTCCATCCTAATAATATGTCTGAAATATGAAAGATGAAGTCTGGCTTCCTGACTTATAAGGAGCATTCTGGTTGTGCTTCTTCCAACAGACTTATTTGTTCTTCTGTCAGTCTATGGTACTTTTAATATTCTCCTCCAAAGCCATAACTCAAATGCATCAATTCTTCTATTCGTATGAGGTTATTGAAAGTACCATGGCTTGGGTCAAGTACACCTTAGATCTCAAAGTGACATCTTTGCCTTTGAACTGTTTAAAGAGTTTTGCTTAATGCAATACATCACTTGATTTTTTCACTGCTGCTTCCATGATTGTTGATGGTTGATCTGAGCAAAATGAAATCTTTGACTCTTTTTTCCATTTATCTTGATGTTATTTATTGGTTCACTGGTGAGGATTTTTTATTTCTTTACATTGAGGTGCAATCTATACCGAAGGCTGTGTCTTTGATATTCATCAGTATTTTAAGTCCACTTTGCTTTCAGGGAGGCAGGTTGTATCATACATAATCCATCATCTTGGATTATGTGCTCAACATACAGATTAAGTATAGTGAAAAAATACAAGCCTACTGCACACCTTTCCTAATTTTAAGCCATTCAGTGTTCCCTTGTTCTGTTCAAACAACTGCCTCTTGTACAGGTTTCTCTTGAGCACAATTAAGTGTTCTGGAATATCATTTTCCAACAGTGTTCATAGTTTGTCATTATCCACACAATCAAAAGCCTTTGTGTAGTTAGTAAAGCATAGGTAAACATCTTTCTGGTATTCTCTGCTTTCAGTCAAGATCTGTCTGACATCAGCAGTGATATCCCTTGTTCCACATTCTTGTCTGAATCTGGCTTGAACCTCTTGAATGCCTCTGTAAATGTACTGTTGCAGCCACTTTTGAATTATCTTTAGCAAAATTTTATTTGCATTCAATATTAATGATGTTGTCCAATGATTTCATCATTCCTTTGGGTCACCTCTCTTTGGAATGGGCACAAATACAGATCTCTTCCAGTCAGTTGGCTAAATGGCCAAATTTCTTGGCATAGATGAGGGAATGACTCCAGTGCTACATCAGTTTGTTGAAAGATTTCAATTTGTATGCCATCAGTTCCCGGAGCCTTGTTCTTTGCCAATGCCTTCAGTGCACCTTGGATTTCTTCCTTCAGTATCATTGACTCTTGATCATATGCTACCTCTTGAAAGGATTGAACATCAACCATTTATGTTTGATACAGTGATTCTGTGTATTCCTTCTGTCTTCTTTTGATGCTTTCTGCATCATTCAATATTTTGTCCATAGCCACAATTTGCAATACGAAGGATTCTTTTATTTTTTCTTCAGTCACATCATCTTGTGAAATGCTGAGTGTGTTCTTCCCTTTTGTTTTCTAACTCACTTGGTGGTGGTGGTTATGTGCCATGGAGTCAGTTCCAAATCATAGTGACCCTGTACAGGGTTTCTGAGGCTGTAAATCTTTATGGGAGCAGAAAGCCTCATCTTTCTCCTGCGGAACGGCTGGTAGTTTCGAACTGCTGACCTTGCGGTTTGCAGCCCTATTCGTAACCACTATGCTATGTTGTTGTTGTTGTTGTTGTGAAGTGCCGTCGAGTTGGTTCCTACCCATAGTGACCCTGTATAGGGTTTCCAAGGTGCAGCTGGTGAGCTTGAACTGCAGTTCAAACAGCTTTGCAGTCTGGCGCATTAACCCACAGCGCCACACCAGGACTCCAACCACTATGCTATTGTTGTTGTTGTGTTGTTGTCAGGTGCCATCGAGTCGGAACCGACTCATAGCGACTCCATGCACGCCAGAACGAAACAATGTCCGATCCTGGGCCAACCTCACTACTGCTGCCACACTTGACGCCATCAATGATGCCACCTAGCCAGTCCATCTCGTAGGAGTCTTCCCCTTTTTCTCTGACCTTCCACCTTACCCAGCATGACATCCTTCTCCAGCGACTGTTCCCTACAGACAGTATGTCCAAAGTATGAGAGACGAAGCTTAGCCATTTTGGCCTCCAAGGAGCACTCTGACTGCACTTCTTCCAAAATAGATCTATTGGTTCTTTTGGCAGCCCATCGCACTTTCAGTATTCTCCTCCAGCACCACAACTCAAAGGCATCAATTCTTCTACGATCTTCCTTATTCACTGCCCAGCTTTTGCATCCATATGAGGCCATTGAGAATATCATGGCTTGGGTCAGGCGCACCTTAGTCCTCAAGCTGACATCTCTGCTTTTCAATACTTTAAAAAGTTCCTGTGCAGCAAATTTGCCCAATGCAATACATCGTCTGATCTCTTGACTGCTGCTTCCGCGAGTGTTGATAGTAGAGCCAAGAAGAATGAAGTCCTTGACAACTTCAATCTTTTCTCCATTGATAAGAATGTTGTTTATTGGTCCAGTGGTGAGGATTTTTGCAGTAGTGGGGATTAATGAAGGCAGAATATGTGGCTAAAATTGTACATGGGAATGTTTCCATGTCGCTTGCTGGAAGGTTTCAAGCCACTGAGGTCACTTGTTACTTGGTTTACTCTGGAACTCAGTTTTCTTGTAATGTAGAGAGATTATTATAGTCTACATATAAAGCAAGAAAGTATAATCGAGTCAGCTCTGACTCAGAGCAAGCCTATGTAAAACAGAACTGCCAAGTCTTATAATATTCTCCTCCAACACCATAATTCAAATGTATCAGTTCTTTTATGGTCTTTTTTATTCATTGTCCAACCATCGTGTGCATTTGAGATCATTTAAAATACCTTATTCCTCAAACTGACATCTTTGCTCTTGAACACTTTAAAGAGGTTTGTGTAGCCAATTTGCCTAATTCAGTATATCATGTGATTTCCTGGTTGTTGCTTCTGTGAATGTTTGATTGTAGATTCAAGCAAAACAAAGGGTTTGACAACTTCAGTCTTATGTCCACTTATCAAGTGATTATTTATTGGTTCAGCTGTGAAGACTTTTGTTTACATTGAGGTACAATCCAAACTGAAGGCTGTGGTCTCAGAGCATCAGTAAGTATTTCAAGTTCTCTTTGCTTCCAGCAAGGTAGATTATATTATCTGTATACCACAGGTTGTTAATGAGTCTTCCTCCAATCCTGACACCATGTTCTTTTTCATCTAATTTTTCGGATTATTTACTCAGTGTACAGATTGATTACATATGGTGAACAAAATACAATTCTGTTACAACCTTTCCTGATTTTAAACCATTCAGCATCTTCAATGTTGTAACAGCTACCTCTTGGTCTATATACAGAATCCTTATGAGCACAAGTAAGTGTTCTGGAATTTTCATTCTTTGCAATGTAATTCATAGTTTGTCTTGATTCACATAGTTGAAAACTATTGCATAGTCAGTAAAGACAAGAAAAACATCTTTCTGGTATTCGCAGCTTTTGGCCCGTATCCATCTGATGCTAGCCATTATCTCATGCTCTACTACCTCTTCTGAGTCTGGCTTGAATTGCTAGTAGTTGCCTGTTGATGTACTGTTGCAGCTGTTTTTGAATTACCTTCAGCAAAGTTTTACTTGCATGTGATATTAATGATATTGTTCAGTAATTTCCACATTACGTTGGGTCACCTCTCTTTGGAATGGGCACATATATGAATCAGTTGACTAGATAGCTGTCTTCTAAATTCCTTGGTATAGGTGAGTGAGTGCATCCAGTGCGTCATCAGTTCGTTGAAAGATTTCAGTTTGTATTCCATCAATTCCTAGAGCCTTGTTTTTCACCATTGCCTTCAGTGCAGCTTGGACTTACTCCTTCAGTATGATCAGGTTTTGATCATATCTACTACCTCTTGAAACTGTTTAACAGTGACTGTTTCTTTTTGGTACAGTGAGATTCTTTGTATACCTTCCATCTCCTTTGGATGCTTTCTGCATCATTCAATGTTTTCCTCGTAGAACTGTTTAATATTGTAACCCAAGACTTGAATTTTTTCCTCCACTTCTTCAGCTTCAAAATTTGCTGAGCTGTGTTCTTCCCTTTGTAAACTTCATTATAGTATTTGACTTTGTCTTCTCTATCTGCCCTTTGAAATTTTCTGTTCAGCACTTTTACTTATTTTTACCATATGCTTAAGCATCCCTATGATAGAGAGCAAGTTTCAGTCTTTTCTGAC